GAGATGAGAGTTTTAATACAGAAACAAAATATCTTTAGAATTATATCTTAGTACATGTCTACAATTTGAGATGAGAAGGGAGTAGATTATATCTATTGTATTTTCACGCCCAAGAGATATCAGCTATTAATACACACCTACATAAGATACAGTACATAAAAATTTACAAATGGAGATTTTTAACACATGAGGAAACATGACCCCAGTACCAAAGTTATGAGAAAAGTAAAAAACTGTTAAGGTGCTGAAAATTAAAAAAATATATGAAAGGTTATTCTTATACTGTATCCTAAAAAGTTGGGCTTTTAGGAAGTGCATGTATATTAAAGGAAGACTGGTTCCTTACACATACTATGAATAACTAGCATTGTAAGATATGGTAGATCATGCTAAGAAAGATGAGAAGCACCAACCTGACATTAGAGAGGTGAAAAAGCAAAGTTTATGGATTCTAACAACTGGAACAAACCAAGACCATGGTCCCAGTACTATTCAATTATTTGAAGCCACACAGTCAACATCATCATTTTTTATTCACTTACAAACCCACCCAGAGCAAACACAGACACACTCTTAATTCACTGTCTTTTAAACACTCACTGCTGTAATAGATGTATTGTGTGTTCCTTAAGTCAACAAAGGACAATGCTATATCTGGTTTGTTTCTGTCATTTCACCCATAAACAACAGATGCTGATGTCACCTAAATACTGTATACAGTACATGTACAGGTAACATACTTCACTTCTTCACAATCCCTAACACGAAAGTTATAGAAACAAACACTGAATGAAACTGCTTTTGGAATTTCAAATGCATGTCTGGCAACAAGTAGCTGTATACTGTATTAACATTAACTATGTTTTTTTTAGTGTTTCTTACTGTGCATCACAATTCATAGATCAATAATAAAGGATGTCAGCAGTTAACATACATAGTGTGGCTATGAAGAGTACAGTCAGACAAAACTCCCATCACTGGCTAAGCTTGTATCGTCAGTTTTTCTTTTGTTTTATGTCGTTAGTAACCTTGTGGGGAGGGGGGAGGGTTTGATATAAGCTAGCATACACCACTGCTTACTCAAGAGGTGTTTCTAAAATTAAGTAGTGTGGGGCTCAGGGCCCTACACATTTGAAATGTACAGGGCCCCCACAGGCCTAAATCTGGTGCTGAATTCATCAATTATGTTAGCAAAAGTTTAGATTAAAACAAATCAAGATTTCTACTGCTTTTTAAGTCAAAAGGTCTAAGTTAGTGCAGTACAGTAATCTGTCTTCTAAAATGAAGTAAACAAAAATCATTATTATTTGTTATACAAGTGTTGCCCGCAACTTCAGCTTTAATAATAAATTCTAATGAAGTGAGGGCATTTGTTCATTAGATGCAATAGTTTAATTGTTTATTAGCTTTCATTCTTTTCTCATTCATACAAGACTTTCAAAATAATGATGATGATAATAATAAAAATAAATATTTACTTTACTACAAAAAGTGACAGTTTGACTTCTATTATTCATATACCCTTAAATTTTAATACTTCCTAAACCCAGCTCAGGATCATTAGCTTTCAAAAAAAAAAAAAAAAAAAAAAAAAAAAAAAAAAAAAAAAGTAAAGTGGTTGGTGTGTAAAGGCCAAGTTGTTCAAATCTGTACTGAAAGCTAGTTCATATGGGAAATAACATATAAACCCCTATATAGTGTAATTAAATACAGACGTTTTATAATACTGTATGTAGAAAGAAAACATTAATTAGCAATTCTTATGCAGGTCAGCTACTTTAAACCCTGGAAACACTCTTCTTGTATTAGTAGGATTAAAACCTTTACAACTTTCATAAGGCATAGATAAAAGTGGTCTGCAAACTGTAGACCATTCACTTAGCACACTTCAGGAACACCAATGAAGGTATATTTGAGATTAACATTTAAAGAGACTCTTCAACCCAAATACTGTACTGCAATATGCTCAATATAATACAATTCATGAATGAAGGATGCAGTCATATGTTTATTTTGTTCTCTAGTAAACATAATCATTAGATTATGAGAAGCAATAATAATTATTACAATGTATTTAAAAATTCCCTTCAAAACACAGCCCCCTTGAGAGTGGAAGCAGTGAAAACTGTGATGGTAATAAGCTCTGTATGTACAATATCTAAAATAAGTTCACATCTGATTGTTTTCTTGTTACTTTTTTTTTACTAATCATACTGTTTTTGTCATCTACCATTAATATAATCCTGTTTTCAGTACAGTAATAAACACTAATAACTGAATTAACTATTTTAAGTTGATTATAATATTGATAATTCCCTGTATGTCACAATAATAGGTCCTACAGATCCACCTCCCACACTATGAACACTCAAGAGTATACAGTAAAAAAAATCCTAATGTTCCTTGGCATATTGGGAACATGATTAAGGCTCCCTCGCCATCACCTTCATATTGCATTACTGAATGAATTCCTGTTTATCAATGGCCTCAATTACAAAACTTTGGCACCATGCAGCTTTGCTTTTACATAAACCTGCATCACAATGAATAATCACAGGCAGCCTGCAACCTTTCTCATAACATGCACTACATATAGACCTCCAGCAGGGAAGGTATGAGTACTTGCACTTGAAAATCTCTTTCAATTTCATCACTTGTACACCCTCACCTCTTAACTATTCCAAGATGACAAGCTTTTGAAGTAACCAAAATTAACCTCATTGCATATGGAAACAAATCGGTCTAATACAGTACAGGATTTCAAAGTGAACACTACTGTTGAAATTACTGTGGAATATGTTTTTTCATTTGTTATTAGACATGGACATGTAAGTTTTTAAGTGGAATAATTATTTTTCCATTCTGTGTTGCTGTACAGAGCATCAATAAATGTTTATCTTATTTTTGAAAGATTTTAATTTCCTGCCAGGTCTCCATCCTGTTCTTGGCTCCAAGTGTGAATATTGCAGTGCATACTGTATCTACCTACAGTACTATTCTAAATTTCTATTATGTTGTACACTCCCCAGAAAAAGTTCTCGAACAGTTAGGCACGACAGATTTCAAAATGAGCACTATGGCTCGTGTCATCTCAGAATGGTTGGTATGCCTCAATATTATGTAATAATACTGTGTGCAGTATATTGCTCATCTTTATAGTATTTACAGGTGAAAAGTAGTAATTGAACTTGCTGTAAAACTTCCTCAGAGAATAATATTCAGATTTCTCATTTGTTTTGTCATTGTACGACCCTTAGAGCAAAAAAAAAAAAAAATTGTAGCGAGTGTACATTATAATTTTGAGAAGATTAGTGGTGATGCACCAAAATAAAATGATTACAAAGAGATTTAAATTTATCTTTTGTTCATTCCTACTACAGTACATTATAAGATGACCAGGCCAGGGGCAAACACACACCCTCCTTATTTGCTGTTACCCATTCACTCTTTTTTGCTGTAATATCTCAGTAAACCATTTGATGCTATATTGTATCATTCACATGTTCTCCTGCTTCCTGAATGTTAATCACCCTCCCTCTAATTTATTCTTTTGGACCTTTACCCCATTCATCTACCTGTTGGACATCCCCTCTCCTTTCCCATATTCTCTCTAATACCTGATTTTTCATTTCTTTTATTTGAAGCTCTGAATGGTGGTAAACACATTTATTAGTCTTAACCATAAAACATTCTTCACAAACAATTTCCAATTATTTCCATAAACTGTAATTATATCTACCTTTTACTGTATCCCTCCCTTTACGATTCTCATATGTTCACTTTCCACAGCAATCCTCAATCTTTTCAGTGCCATATTTTCAGTTTCAGTAGCTTCTGCAATTCTTAATTAAGCAACAGTCAAAGCAAAATAGAGAACTTTCGACATGTACTATGAGATTTAGGATAGTGTGAAGGCTGCTGTAACTAAAATTACTGAGATAAAACACTGCTTTTTCCTCTGCACTTCATGTATGAAGCTTTATATGTAATTAATTTTAATTTCTTATCTTGATTTTGAGGCCATTTCTAAGCATATACCTGATATATTCTAATATCACATAGTAGAGATAAAAGGGTGGATTATTTACTTTGCAAGAAATAATCATTGATGCTCGAATCACTTTTGTGTCTGGGTGTGTACAAGTATGTACAGTACCTGTATACTATATCTAATATATGTAATGTTCGTGGTGTGTATACATCTATGTTCAATCTGGATGAGAAAATGAGAAAAAAAGTAAATGTAACTTAACCCTGTGAGTACAGAACAACTACTTCAAGGAAACAATACATGGTAATTATGTCAGACCTTGCACCTATCCTTAAAAGTAGTCAGCAAGGATTACCTGGTACAGTAAATATTTTACACAGGAAATACAGTACTGCTTAGTAGCTACAAAAATGTCCAAAACTTGAGGGTTGGTATTCTGATATGACATGTGTGCACTTACTGCTTAAAACTAAGATCAACTACTGTACTGTACTGTGAATTTGTGAATTATGGTGGGATAAGGGATATTGATCAAGTCTAGTGATAAACAACAATGCTGTTTAGGTTAATTCCTGATAATTGTCTGCAGGAGTGAACAACTCACAAGGCACACCTAACAGATATACAGTTATAAAAATATAGCAATATTTCTCTTATACCAGTAGTATAAAAAAAATGCAGAACAAGTATAATAAAATTCTTGAAAAGTAAAGAAAGTAAAGCCGCAGGATTATCTTTGGCAGTCAACATAATTTTGGTATACTGTATATATTATGTTAAAAATAGGGGACTGGGAAGTTTATAATAAAATAGAGCAAAAAATCAGGAACAAATACAGCACTGGAACCACAGTCTTTTCCAGAAATAAAACACCATTTGATTATGTCAATGTGTTCAGCAAACATGTGTGGTACAGTACAGCAATGCTTGTTGCAAATGTATAATTTCTCAACATGAAAATAGGGTTTGGCGTGTGGCCAATAAAATTTACTCCCCATTTTTGCAACATGATATTTTCTGTATAAATGTCCAGGTGTTAGTGAACGATTGCACACATTAAGTCAAGTTGTGTTAGTGTAAATCCAGAATCTTGTAGATCACTGTAGGCTCATTTGGATGACAATAGGTCATATCTGCAAGCAAATACAGAAGTTCCTCTCAACCGACCGCAAAAATATAATTTTTTTTCTTTTCTGGGAGAACCCAAGTCCAAGAACATAAATGTGTCTCATATGCACATTATTTAATCAAAATGTACAAGCAAGCAAATTTTCACCAGGATTAACCAAGTGGTGTGTCAACCTTGCAAAGAAAAATGCAGAGTAAAACAATAAGCTTCCCCACTTTTGGCTGAGGGATGACTTCAAAACACTGATGCTGAAAACCAATGGAATGAATTTAAATTTTGGGCAGCACTGTACAGTACTCTGAGTGATGCTACTACTGATTGATGAACTTGAATATTTGTGCAGGCGCTCTAAAAAGACCTGCACTGTTATCACAATGATCCAATATTATTCATTATGTTGGGAAATGATACCTGAAGAACTATGCTATCAAATAATGCTTGACTATACAAAAGCATACATTTAAAGGAGGAATTTTAAGCTCATAACATTAAGATAAATAATAATGATTCAACAAATCCAAGTACAGTACAAGCAGTCCCTGACTTACGACAGGGATACATTCTTGGACCCTGATCGTAAGTCAATTTGTTTGTAAGTCAGACCAGTGTTAATTCCATAGTTTGGGTTAAGTTAAAGCACAACCCTGCCCCTACAAGACAACATTAATACCCCATACATAACAAATAACGTAAATACTGAAATTAAAGTGATATTAAACAATACAGTAAGTCCTCGCTTAACGTCGTGGTACCGTTCCTGAAAACCACGACGTTAATGGAATAAATTTTCCTTACGTATAAGAAATAGATAAAATACGCTAGTTACGTTCCCCAAACTCCCTTTGCCCCAAAAATACATTACTGTACATAAATTCAATGGAATTTTTATAGAAAATAGTATATATTATACATCCAAAAAGATAAATAAACTAAATCATTTTGTATTGTACTCACTGATGGGCTGAGGAGGAGCGAGTGTGTGGTGGGTAGTGGAGAGGAGGAGGAGGGTGGGAGTAGAGGAGGGTGGGAGAGGAGGAGGGTGGCGATTGGCGAGTCACTGAGACCCGGAGGGTGGCTCCTGCTTCTGCTCTGACTGGGCGAGAGAGCGTGATGCGCCGCACAAAGTAGTCAGTGACGACGTTATATCGAATGGGCGGGACCTTGCCCGAATCATGGGTATCTAAAGTGTAGCGACGTTATAATGAAACAACGTTGTCGGGGGCAACGTTAAACGAGGACTTACTGTATAGAATAATGAAAATATTGTAAAAAATGGATTTTCAATTCTAAATTTTCGCAATGTACTCATAAATGCAGATGATTGTAAGTCAGATGATCGCAACTTAGGGACTGCCTGTACTGTACAAAGTAAACTATCAAGTAAAGAGAAAACGTTCCTTTAGTACAGTAGTACTGTACTTACTAAAGTCAGCATTGACTTGGATAATAGGAGCAAACGTAAAATGTACAGTATAAAATAGAATTCCTTTATGTAGTAGGTATTTGAAATGATCTGTTATTGGTGAATTTATCTGGGGTTAATGATAATATAAAAAATCAGCAGTCCACATGGAACAGAAACATATACAGTGCTGACAGTTACCTCTTAATAAATATAACACCCATCTTCATACATATTACCTGGAATAGTAAAGCAACATGAAAAAAATATATACCGGTACTTAAAAATGAAAAGAAAGACTATGAGCATTATTTAGTGAAATATGACTATCTTTTTCTGACTGCATTTTCAAGCTCTGTGCTGAATAAATATTTCCTATTATATTTTCATCTTAACACATAATATCAAAGTCAACATCCACAGTACATATAAATAAACAAGAGCAAATGTTATTTCACTTAAGGGTTACCATTTGTTTCCATGTCCAGACTAAACTTCTCCTGTTCATTGTTGTTTACTCTGCAGGAGCATCAGTGTCTCAGGATTGAGGAAAACATAATCATCAAGGTTGGGGTCTTGTATGCTTGGGTCCCACTTGAAGTTTAACACTACTGCCGGAACAAGTCGTAATTCTACAAGGCTCTGCTCCGTTTCTGTCACCTGTGGGTCACAGACATCAATGCTAATGAATAACAATATATACTAAAATTACTTGAAATTATGGCCTAAACTAAACACCCAGAATTGTCACAAAATTCAAATTACTACAGGTATTTGAAATGAAACCTATTAAGTAAAACCTCGGTTAAATCTGACCATCAAACAAGAAAACACATGGGACTAGTTAATCATCAGGAGAAATTAGTTTTTTTTGCAGCTGAAATCCATTTGGAATTAACACTAATCCAGCAGGGTTTGTAGGTGCAAATCTGCTAAAATCATCATATATTTAAAAGATAAGTTGAGTCTTCAGCAGAACATTCACACTGGGAAAGCTACATGAGTAACTACCACAAACAGACAGCACAATCCTATGAAATATCTTTGGATAAGGAACTTAAAACACATGATGATGATGATGATGATGATGATGATAATGTAGTTTTTAAGAATTTAATTTTACAGTTGTGAAGCAAACCTTTGTTATTCATAAACTATTGGTGAACAATTGAAGTCATGTGGGGGACTGATCCTATAATCCCATTTTATGACCTAGAGGTAAACTAATGTTTTTTTTCCTCAACTTCCTTCCTTGGGTGTAATGTAGAAGTGGTTGCAATTAATGAGACCCTGATATCCCCACTTTTTGAGAAGGGCGATCTAAGTTAGGGTATTTGGGAGGAAATTTTCAAACAGGCCAAATGGAGTTTAATTAAAAAAAAAAAAAAACTAACAACAACATTAACACCTATAGAGCACCATTTTATTTCAAGGAGTGAAAGATCTGGGTGTTAATGGAAAGTAGCTCTTCAGATAGCTTTGGAACCAAGCTTGAACAAAATGTGATCACATGTAAAACATGTTAACATCAGGTGGTAAACTAGAACTGTCCCTCAAATGCTGAAAGGGGTTAAGAATGTGATAAACTAATGAGACTAAAAATGAGGACATACTTCACACACAAATGATAAGTTGATAACATATATAAATTTGTAGATAAGATAAAACTTAATATTGACCTTTCCACCTCCACTTAGGGAAAGGAAGAATGGGCGCCAGTCATTGACAAGGCATTCCCTGATAAATTTCATTACTTCCTCAACTTTCTCATGCACTCCAAAAGTTCCTTGGAGAATAAGACCATCTGGAAACCGCACCCTGAAAGATACCGTAAATGAATCTTTTAAAATACGGAACAAATTTCACTGAACTATTATGGTCTTTAAAGGGATTATAACAAGACATCATGTTCAACGTTATTAGGACTTTTCCATCTTAAAATAAAATAACAAATAATAAAGCTCAAACCCCCACCTGCAAAACTTTTTACATAAAATAAGTTAATTTCCTTGACTGTGAAAACACTGAAACAAAGTAACACCAGTATCGGTCAAAATTCCACCGATACAGATATATCAGGATATCTTTAGGGTTTTTTTTCTGGAAGTACTTAATGAGAAATTAAAATTCCAAGAGAAAGGTATATTTTGATCAAAAAATTACTATGGCTTACATTTTCTGCAGTTTTGGCCCAAAATTGGATTTTGTAGAAAATCTCAGTACAGAGGGTATAGGTAATTCTGAACATGCTGATAACAAATCTATGGTCCACGATTCAATTGCGGGGTAATTAGTCATCGTAATGATGCTTGGAAGATTTTAATTAATTTTTTTTCCAATGAAAATTACTCGCCAACTATGGATTCCGAGGTGCAAATTTGGTGTTTTTGTGTTATTCTGGAAGAATTTAATTTTATATATATATACAGTGGTCCCTCGGTTAACGAACACAGTTCGTTCCACAGAGTCGTTCGTTAACCGAATCCATTATTTCAATGGGATATTGGGTAATTGGTTCCAGCTCACAGAAAAGTACATACAAAGTAAAGCCCAAAATGCATAAAGTCAGAAACACCCCCAAAATTCCCCTAAATCACCCTTAAATCATTATATATATACGTACATATACATTCGATCAAAAAAATCGAATTTCAAAATGTGGAAACACTGAAGAGTTTCCAGACTATGAGTTACAGGAAACTTGTTTAGGACAATCCCACACTCGTCTAAATTAAATAAATAATAGGGGAATGTTGGAATATAATTCCAACATATAAGGGCTTTGTTACTCACTTTTGAAACTAATACTGTAGTGTTAAACACACTTTACAAATATTAAAGCAAAATTAATTACTACTGTACTGTACATACGTACAGGACAGTAGTAATTAATTTTTATATACAGTACATGTACTTGTATTGCATCAAATTATATTTTTTATTTTTAAAGTTTGTGGTATCATTGAAATAGTGTACCAGTATTGTGTATTAACATTATTATTGCATTTGTGTATTTTGGTATCAGAATTGGCCAAAATCATGGTGTCGGTACATCTCTAGTCGGGACACCTTATTTTGGTTCTTAGTGGTTGAGAGGATTCTAATAATTTTCTCTTCAAATGATTACCTTCATATCGAAACTGTATACTCCATTCAGGTTCCATGTGACCTGACTGGCACATAACCACAACTGTATAAGTTATTTGATCTTTTTAAAATAATTATTTAATGTAGTAGAGGCATTATCTGAGAAACAAAATTTATCTGAGAATACAGTACATTTACCTCTGCATATATCTGTCAATGAGGTGGTAACATAGTGACTCAAGTAAGCTGCAATCAGGATTATAACAACAATTTGTACATAGAAATATTAAAATATATCTGTTCTCTGACGAGATTAATATTCAACATTTTCCTAACATAACCATCATTATGTCCCAAAAGTTAACTGCTTCTCTAAATACTCATTCCCTTTCCTAAAATCATCATCAGATTTTGGTAATACAGGTACAGGTATAGTATATTTAACAACCATGCACAAAACTAAATGATATTTCTTGGTGTAAGACAAAAAAAAATTGAAAGAAATTACATATTAAAAACATTCAAGACAATATATCAAAACAATGAGATCAAATCACAAAGTATTAGTGCCAAAATATGTTTCTTACCGAATAAGGGAAAACCTATATTTTCTCATCTCCCTTAACTCCTGTCGCTCTCTCATGGCTTTTGTTAATAACATCTGACTTCTCTCAACAGCAGTTGCTCTGAAATTGATAGAAATAAAATATTACACCTATAAGTGAAGCATCAGGTGTATAAATATAAAATTAATGGTTCCGAGAACTTTTTAAAAAGTTGTGGTAAATATGAACGATTTGTGCTTCAATCTATAATTTTATCACGCATGATCCCACTATGCATCGCACTTCCATTATCATCTGCCATACACAGTTGATATGGTATTATATCAGTAGTCATTTTTCCTTACCCCATAAATTTTCAATGCAATATTACAGTACAGTACTGTACTAGTGCAATTCCTTTTACCCAAATTCCATCTATCCGAATCTTCCAAGTATCCAAATTTTGAACCCTTTGTCCCGTTCAGTAAAAAAATTAATTTAGTCCAACAATCCAAATGCAACCAAAGTCATTCGTTTGCGTGTCTGCCACCAGTGGCACTGTAAACACTTTGTTTACAAGCAGGCCAGGCTTTTTGGCTGGTGGAAGGTGTTGGCTATAAACAAAAAAATTGATACATAGCATATCATAAAATACAATAGCACATACTTTATGTATATAAACACTCAAACCATCCTGTGGGCAACATGACAGTACAGTCAGGCTGTACTGGGGTCACCCAGCTGACTCCAAGATGTGCATGTGTGTGTTTGCTGTGACTTCACATTGAGGGGAGGGAGTGCGGGTGGCTGGTGACGCAGTTACAGCCTCCTGCCTCCAAGCATATGTTCACTCCCCAAATATACAGTACACTTAATTCAAGTCAGACTCCTGTATAGTTATAAATCAGCATTTGTGTTTTCATGCCATTGTGCCGTATGCTTAGCTTATGCTCATGTTGGTGGAAATACAGTACAAATTCAGGCACAGTCAATACAACTCCTCCCCGACTTACGACCTACTCGACTTACGACCACCCGGACGTACGACAGCCTCAGTCGTACCAAAATTTTGTCAAATTACGTATTTTCGAGTCCCAACGTCAATGATTGCGCTGTGTACTGACAAAATTTTCGTTTGTAATTCACTTTAAAATGGCTGGCGAGCTTGAAAGTAAGAGTTTTTTGGTGCCGAGAAGAAAAAGAGACACCCATTTTAGATTTTCTATGTATTAAGCATTTTCGACTTACGAACTGGATTTGGGTCCCTAACCCCGTCATAAGTCGGGGAGGAGCTGTACAGGAAAGCCCTGAATTGCAATAGGATTTGTCCTCTAATTTACAGTGTCTTCAATCTTTATTGTTTATTCACCTTGAAGTTAAAAATAGAAGATACATCCCTGACAACAGGACTGACAAGACAAGGCAAGTAACCAGCTCACTGCAAACCAAAGTACTCTAAATGACAACCTCCCCAGGTTATAGGGTCATGTCTCTTGTACAGTCAACCCTCACTTTACGCGGTCCCACATTCCGAGTTTCCAGAGTTTCCACGGTGCCCTGCCAGAACCCAGGATGCTCACATTCCGCGGTGGGTGTACCCCTTTACACGGGTGAAGTATAATTTTTTTATTTAGCTCATAAAATTCATACAAATTATCCGGCCAGAATATAATTTACATTGCTGGAATTCTTACAATTTGATGATCATTTTGAATATAAACATCATAGATTTTGCATTAGATATACAAATTTTAGATATAATGTTTACTCTGAGTAAATATGTTATCCTTCGTGCAAAATATATGACATTTATATTCAAAATATTCCTGGTCTTACAAGGAATCCAGCAATGTCAATTATATTATCCTAACATTAGTTTGAGGTATTATTTATTACTATACCTGGTTTTCCCCCCAAAATTTCTCAGAGAGGGAAGAGCCAGGGAGTGTAGTTTGAGAAGTGGGGGAGGGAGTCGAGTCCATTATTTGAATGGACATTAACTTGGCGACTGTATTTCTCTATTTCTCTTAAGTATTAATTGTGTGCATGTACCATCATAAAATTAAGATGTTATTTTTACTAGAACATAGGTATTGTGTTGGAAAAAGTGGAGTTTGGGGGTCAGCTGGTCTCTATTTCATTTAATCCCATATGTTATGTTATTCACTTTACGCGTTTCTCACTTTCCGCGGTACCCTGTGGGTTACATTAAACGCGGAAAGTGAGGGTTGACTGTATAGAAAAATATGAACATAACTGAAATTTGTCTTCTATTAAGCAGAAAGATAGAGCAGAACTGTCTCTCGGGAGATTATCATCCATTTCATTCTTAAAACCTTTACCCCTTCATTTCTTTCTTCTATCTTCTTGGTTTCACCATGGTAATTCCCAATAACTGGCCTCATTTCATTATCCTCTACTCTCAATGTAAAAAAATCACATACCATACCTGTTCTGCATTTCACGTTTCAATTCATCGGCAGTCAAGTTGAAAAATTCTGCTGGCAAGTCTATGTGTGTGGCCGCTTCAGCAGGAAGAAGGATGGTAAGGCTGCGATCAAGCTGTGGGCGTACCGGCTCAGCACTCACAAGAGCATCTCGCAATTGTTCCAGAGCAGCTACATCGCTCAGATTATCCTCAGGAAACACCTTGGGGAAAAAAGTTCATTGTAACTAGACACATGTTTACTCATAGGAAAGGCCCAGATGAACAGCTAATTTGTCAGCAGGACAAAATTTAATTTAGATGTATCTAATTATAATGCTGACACTGTTACACAATATGTGCATCTCAAAAACTGAATGTCATATAGTGAAACAGATTTTGCCAATAGAAAGGAGATCAAATAGCAGATATGAAAGCAACTGAGAAGCAAGAGATATACTTTCCTTTTCCCTATACTGTACTGAAAACAAATTCTGTATTAATTTTCAGTCATATTTCAGGATAACAGGTAATCAAAGATTAATACTGTACAGCTCTTGCCAAAAGAAAGAAGCTTAAAAGAATACTCTAACTGAAAATAGGTAAATATGGATTGTATAAATAGGTGTCAGTATGGTTTGAAATTTACCCCTGTTTTCTTTTATTTTGTTCAAATCATTGAAAGCCCTTCTCACTACATCCTCACTTGCCCTATGACCTCCTCCTATAGGTCCCCAGCCGTTACCAACACCTCTTCCCTCCCAGACCAGATATCCCTCCTCCTAGTCACAGGCCTGGCATTTGACATTATTAGGGACCTGCCACTCTTTGCCATAAACAGATAAAATGTACCGGGAACTTTCCCCCCACACTCTCATCATTCTCTCACTTTATGTAACTTAACAAAACCTATGACCCTTCAGGCTTTTACGCCCTTAATGTACGAGTCATAAAGGCAAGTATTAACTTTTCATACTTCCCTGTTGGGCGCTGTAAACGCTTCTGCGCTTCACCTTGCACAGGATGTAAGGGGGTGCCCAATAAACTAGCCCCCTCGGGGGCAAATCTGAAATCTGATTGAAAGCCCTCTACTATGCTGCAAGGTGGCTTAAAACAAGTGCAAAAACAGAATCCCCCCTTTACTTACATTTACCATAACTGCAAAGACATCCTCCATAAACCACTTAACAGCATATGTTCTCATAATTCATGTGCTCAGCTGCTTCCTGGATACCCATCCCTTTTGCTTCTAATAATTCTTTCATTGTACTGTCTAGTAAACATACAAATCACAGCATGCACTGCACCACTCATTAAACTTACCCAAAATTTTTCGGCACTATCATTGAATGGCAGCTCCTGTTCTGTAAACCCAGCAGCCTCCAAGAACTCCTTTGTACCCTCAATAGGAAGGATCCTCTCTTGGTAAGCTTTGTTTGACATTCTGATCTTGTGGAACTTCTCTTCAGTGGGGTTAGTTACAATGTTTTCAATATACTTGCACAAAGTTTCAACACAAATGCTAATCTGAAACACAGTGATACATGATAATAATTAAACTTACATTACAATGAATTAATATCTAGTAATTGATCTGAAACAAAAATATTTCAGACCTAAAATTCTGTTGTGTACACACACACTGTACTCTAGTGTAGAATATAAATTATTTAAATATTTATTTCAACAATGAACTATAAAAACAAACACTATCAGATTGAGTACAAACACTTGTCTGCAAACATTGCCTATATACAAAAATTGATAATAGTATTTATAACTACAGGTAAATTAAAAATAAATTAAAATCTGTCACTTATGGCCGGAAAACTTATATAATTTATAAAAGAAAAAATCTTGCTTTAAGTATGAGAATTGTAGGACAACAAAGATTTTAAAAATTTATTTAGTTTTCATCGTTACCAACATAACAATACAGAACTGCAAACCTTTTCTTTATTCTTATTACAAGTGTGGATGATGAGGCAGGAGGAGATGGCCTTATCTTCCTCCACCTGAGCATAAAGGAATTCACGTATCTGTCTCTTGATTTCATCGTATGTTGCCACCTCAGGGCCTGAGGAGACACAAAATGATGAGGAGTATATTGTGAAATCTCATTTTATAACCAAGGCTGGATAGCATGAGTCAAGAATTTGCTCAGCAAAAGTTGGGAGAATAGAAGCATGGGAACCACTAACATAGAGTAGCTGGGGCTATTTCAACCATCAGCAGTTGGTCAAAATCTGTAATCTGTAACTTTGGCTGTTGCACAGTTCATGAGAAACAATTTTCCATGAGGATTCAACCCCAAAAAGGCTACAATAAGTAACCAAAACTTTGATAATCAGCTTTGGGTAAAGTTATATTAATAGTACGGTATATAATGCAATACAGTATACAAACCAAATATATAATTGTTGGTGTTTGGTTTTCTTTAAGCAAATAATGCTATGAATTGTTATTACAGTGCTGTATTAGGATTATTTGCCAATGGGCAGCAGAGTGATAAATCAGAGTTATTTATAGTTTGTTGAGTACAATATTGGCCCTGCATTACTGTACTAAGTCTTATTTCTTATACAGCTTTACTGCATTAATATTTTTACTCTACTTTAATACTTTATAAATGTTTTATTTTTTACTTTTACTTGAAGTAACATGAAGAAAGATTGCTTCTACTTTTACTCAATTAATTTCTATCAAGGCAACAGTACTTTTAGTCAAATAACGGTTTCCAGTAAAATGCAAGACCATCCTCATTACCCTCTGACCTCTGAAGAAGGCCAAAGGAGGATGGTGGGACCTAAGTAATTCTATTTAGATTTAGTTATAAATGAGATTTCAGGATCAATCTCCAATTTTATAATTTTATAATTCATGACTCATGAATATTAAATCCAGTTAATATGAGGGAGGACATAGAAAAGGCTCCAATTACTGTGTAACTACTCACTCTTTAGGTAAACATGCCTAACAACTACCCTGTAATTGGTTCACGAGTACTAGTCATGTACAGTCTCGTTCAAGATACTTCGAACACTGCTGGAGACAGCTGGCAACTCAAGGCCGTTTGTTTACTACAGTACGTAGTAAAAATTATGAATGAATGTAAAAGTGATCGGTGATTGGTTACTAGTTCCCCGTTACTTAATTAATGGTTGGGCTTTGTTGTTTTGTATTATATTATACTTTTCTGCCGGTATATACTGTTAATTTGAGTTGCCAGCAGTGTTCGAAGAATTTTGAACGAGACTGTACCATATCTAGATTAATCATCCATATTCTAAAATCCAAGACTTAAACAACAGTGAAAAGCAAATAAGAGAAATAAAGACATGCTTGTGAACTGTCATTCATTTACCAAACTTTTCAAATAGTATACTCCAGCATATATCATTCCTGATTAACCCTTAGGCCCCGGGTGACATTCCCAAACATCCGACTAGCGCGCCCCGGGTGACGTTCTAGAACGTCTGCCTATTTTCCCGCATTTTTTTTTTTTTATTATTTTTGGAAAAGTATATTTTTTTCTCGATTTAACCCCGCGGGGGAAGGAGGGGGGGGTACTGCCAGCAGCACCATAACCCGGGGCTTAAGGGTTAAGTACAAAGGAATACAGTATGCCAAAATAAGGAAATCTGAAATGGACAAGATATATGAGATGGTGACTATAAAAGGAGTGGTCAACAAAAGAGATACCTTGGATTCCCAACAAGGAGAAAAAGCTCACTCAATCCAACAACTGAAGAACTGTTTTATGTTAGTGTCAAAGTCTTGTGCATTAATTGGCCTAAAAAATATGAGTAAGGAACAGTGACCTACCAAGGAGTGAACAATAAAAGAAGACCCCCTGGACAGCCAGCATGGGGGCACCATCTAGGTTAACTTCTTTAGGCCCTGGTGGTATATCTTGTCCACTTAGAGTCATTTGTTCCAAAGCTTTTTGCTCAGCTTCAAGTTCACGTCGTGCCTGAGCCTTAATGGCTTGTAGGGACCTGAGATAAAGAAAAAGACTTTCTCAATGATAATTCTGTGTTAATAAAATAAACAAAAACATTTTACAATCTACAATTTTGGATTGTACAATATTATATCGATACTTGGCTTATTTTTAACATAGTACTGTATTTTGCTTTGCACAACCTCTATATATTTGTTTCATCTTATATCCCCAAATTTTTCTAACAGTCGATACAAAAAGTTAAAATCATAATTTTCAATACAGAGTGTATTAAAAAGTTCGGGGACGGGGATACCAAATGATGCCTGTTTACAAATTTCAGGGCTTCTCCAGTATTCCCCCCCCCCCCACCACAATTTGTTTTACTCTCTCTTAAACTAGTACAGGTTTTACCTCTCTAGTCCGGCAACCTCGGGACCTGACAGGTGCAGGACCATGGAAATTCACCCTTTTCCTGGATGGATAGTGACTTGTGCTTATGCTTGGAAGCGCTAGCACCACTTTCTCTGCATCATGGTCTCTTTGAAGACATATTGAAGGGGTAAATGTCGTATAGTAGCTTCTCAAATTTCGCGAGTTTTTATTTGTTAACGTATTTTATTGGAACACACAAAAAAATAAATAAATAAAAATTTTGACGGCGGAAACTTGAATTTCGACGGGTTTGAACGGCCCGCCAATGTGCAGACGACGTGCATAATCGTGTAAACAGCGTCATTTCTCTTATGTACAAAAGATTCATTATTGTTTATTACTGAATGACTTTTCTATTGAATTAATGTTTATGTGTGCAAAATGAGCAATACAATTCATTAATAATACGTAGAATATTAAAACACACGAGGAAATGACACAGCATTGTTTTCGTTGATTACAAAACAGCTGCCGGCATTGTTTATGTTAAAGCATACAAAACCAGTGACTGACTGGTTCTACATATAAAACTGAAGAAAATAAGACCTTGGCTGTAGCTGTAGTAAAATTAATATGGTTGTTTTAAGTACAATGTTATTTAATGTTAATAAATGGAACAATAGAAGTAGCTAACGATAATGGTAAAGAAATAAGAGAGATCGCGTATGTAAGTGCGCATGGGCACATGTGAAAACATATCGTCATTACTTTACATAAGAATATGAAAGCAACACTTATTTACTGTTCATATATATTTTAATTAATGTTTCTGAATTTGTTTTTATTGAATTAATGTTTGTGTGTGCAAAATTAAAATACAATTTATTAATAATACGTGGAATATTAGAGGAGATGAGACGGCTGCCGGCATTGTTTATGTTAAAGCATACAAAACCAGTGACTGATTGGTTCTACATATAAAACTGAAGAAAATAAGACCCTGATTTTAGCTGTGGTAAAATTAATGTAAAAAAATTAATATGGTTGTTTGAAGTACCTGTAATGTTATTTAATGTTAATAAATGGAACAATATAAGTAGCTAACCATTAATGGTAAAAAAAAAAGTGAGACTGCGCGTATGTAAGTGCACACATGTGAAAACATATCGTCATTACTCTACATAAGAATATGAAAGCAACACTTATTTACTGCTCATATATATTGAAGGGTTAAATGTTGTACTCTGTATAGACAAGCAGAGAGAGAGAGAGAGAGAGCAGCCGAACTGCCGGATGTAAACAAACCTTAATTTCCCGCGGCTTTTTTTTTTTTTAAAGGGATTAGCCCACCCGGGCATAGGTCACTGACCCACATTGGGGCCTGAGGGGCAAAAATTTAATACTCCTGTAATAATAATAATAATTCAGAGAAATAAAAAAAAGAAAAAAAAAGAAAAAAGCTGCCTATCTACCTATTGGACAAACTAAAATCGTTCCGGACCACGGGAGTTTCCGGACCACAGAATGCCGGACTAGAGAGGTACAACCTGTATATATATATATATATATATATATATATATATATATATATATATATATATATATATATATATATATATATATATATATATATATATATATATATACACACAGTGGTTCCTCGGTTAACGAACAGTTCGATTAACAAAATTTCGGTTAGCGAATGGGATATTGTGTAATTGGTTCCAGCTCACAGAAAAGTACATACAAAGTAAAGCCAAAAAATGCATAAAGTCAGAACACTCCTGAAATTCCCCTAAATCGCCCTTAAATCACTACAGTGGTCCCTCGGTTAACTAGTGAATTAGCTCCCATAAGGATCTTCAATTCGGTTAACGAGCAAAACTTCGATTAGCGAAATCCTCACGACAAACATGTTTTGTTGTGAGCGTCAGCTGATCGGCTAGTCCGCCAATACAGTAATCTGTTCTATGTTTACATTCGTTTCCATGGGAATAAATATCAAGAAGGTTGTGTTCTTGAATATTTTTTGCATTTTTTATATTAAAAGTATTAGTCATTCTAAAATTTAGCCATCCAAGCTCTGTCTACATAAAGTTTTTTCAACTAATATTTTTGGCTCGATATATGTAACTTTATTCATTTATTGAAACTCATTTACATGCACACACTGTCCTAAGGGCAAAGCTGTACTGTATATATAATCAAAATAATGTACAAAATGATTACTAACATTTTTGTCTAATGCAAACTATAGCATGTTTACATTCATCTTAATCACTATCTTATAAGAATTCCAGCAATGTAAATTATATTCTCCGCGGTCACTTCTATGACATTTTATGAGCTAAAAAGAAAAACTCAATCTAAAGGACATAAATAAACAAATAAATACTTCACTAGACCTTTGGCGCTAACTGTCAAACATGTCACCGTCACCTCCCCTTCCTCCTCCCTCCTCCCTTCCTCCCAGCAGGGTTTGGTGGTTATACAGTAGGCTTTAAGTTTTTATCTTATATAATTTCACAGACTAAAATTAGGAGAATATAATTTGCATTGCTGGAATCCTTGCAAGACAGTGAATATTTTGAACAGAAATATCATATATTTTGCACAAGTGATAAAAATTTTAGTACTTTAGTGGAGTACAGTACTGTACATTTTAATAATATACAGTTTTCAGCTGTATTTTGGAGTAGATTTACATAAATTTCTTCATTTATTTTTATTCATTTACATGCACACACCATACTAAAAGAAAGCATTAAAAGAAATAAATGACCTAAGTGCAAACCTGTACTGTACATGTACTAAATGATTCTGATTACTAAAATTCTTATATTTTAGTGCAAATTATAGCTGTGGGGACCGGTGGTAAGCGGTACTGTTTTTGCCTCATAGCGAGATGTCACGGGTTAGATTCGGGCGGCCCGGAAGTTGTTTGGACTTACTTCCCAGCCCCATTAGTCCCTGTTCACCTAGCAGTAAAGTAGGTACCTGTTGTAAGTCAGAAAGTTGCGAATTACATTATTCAGGGACAAGTTGTTGGAGCTTCAATAACTTGATGACATAAACCACTGACTCTTCGAGGCTTCTATGCCCATAACTCGTGAGACATAAAGGCAAGCATGAATTTAGCATGCTTCCCCTGTTGAAGCTGTGTAAATGCTTCTAAACTTCACCTTACACAAAAAGTTGTAGAGGGTGCCCAATAAAAAATTATAGCTTGTTTATATTCAAATTAATCACTATCTTACAAGAATCCCAGCAATGTAAAGTATAATCTCCCAGGTCATTTCATTGGCATTTTATAAGAGAAAACTTAGTCACTCATAAGGATTGATAAATAAACACACATCAGACCTTCGGCACCAACTGTCAAACATATCACCTCACCTCCCCCTCCCTCCCTCTCCCCCATCTGCCCAGCCAGGGTTTTAGGCTTACAGTTTTTATTTTGTATGATATCTCAAACTAAAGTCAGGAGAATATAATTTGCATTGCTGGAATCCTTGCAAGACAGCAAATAATTTGAATATAAATGTCATATATTTTGCAAAGAGATAAAAATTAATCACCTGTATCACATTACAGTAGTGATTTAAGAGTTCTACTGTATATGTACGAATATATATGGTGATTTAAGGGCGATTTAGGGGAATTTTAGGAGTGTTTCTGACTATATGCATTTTTTGGCTTTACTTTGTATGTACTTTTCTGTGAGCTGGAACCAATTACCCAATATCCCAATGAAATAATGGATTCGGTTAACGAACGACTCTGTGGAACAAATTGTGTTCGTTAACCGAGGACTACTGTATGTCATCAGTTCTTTAGAACCTATCTCAATTAACCCTTTAGAGGGCAAAGTAGCTCTTTGGTATTTTATTCTAGCTAATGTCAAATGATTTTATTCAGCCGAGAGAAACCAGTCCTCTAAATAGGCAGAGCTGAGATAAAGATGTCTACTCCTCTTGATAAATGGCTAGGGGTTGAATCCAAAATCACTGACTGACTCTGAATAAAGCTGGCTATAGTAGATAGCATGATTGTGAACTGGCTAGGTAGTCACAGCCGATTTTACAGACCATCGACCAATCTCCCATTTTAGGGCAATAACTGTCACATGGATGGAAAAGTGATCATTAGGTCAGCCCCCAGCTGCCAGTGGATGATTGTCTCTCGAGTCCTAGACTCCCTAAACAGTTTGCACATTGCCAGGAGCTACAGGCTAGAAAGAACGAATAATTTTGTGTTGAAAAGTAAGAAGACAAACACACATGGATGTTGGGCTAAAAAAAAAAAGTTATGGGAATAGGTTTGTCATCTAAATTATCGAAAGTCTCTAAGAAAATTCGATAATCTTAATCAATTTATTTACTTTGATATAAATAATTTAAAAAAAGTCAACACTGATAATGATTAGAATCTAATATAAAACATCAACATTTATGATAATCAACTATGAGCTATGATTGCTATGTGCTCACCCACATAACTCACCCACTGGTAACACAAACAATCAACTAAAATATGTACCAGTTAACATCTGTCTTCTTTGACTGTTGTTCCATTCTTGCTAGAGCTGCTGCTCCAGCACGTTGAGCATCGTGTGTAGGAGTATGGCGGTGCTGTGGTACACTCCTAGATGGCTGAGATCGAAGATGTGTTGGACCATCACCCATTGTCAGGCTACCAAATGTTTAAATAATAGAAATGAGAACCAATGGTAGTGATCATTCACTTCTGAATAAGACTTTCAATATTAAAAAAAAGGAAAAAAAAAGGAAAAAGTGAAATTCTATGACTCCAGAGAGATAAGAGACAATATCTACAGCTTTGTGTAACACCTGGAGGATGTACGGACACAACCTTGGCATGTACCGGTAAATGAAATTTCTACAAAATCACAAGACCACCTCATAAAATGATTTTTTTTATCACGAAACCGAATTAACCTTAAGTAAATTAACATTAAATGAGGGATACATGTACTGCATGAGTTATAAAACTAAATATGAAAATAGACATAGGACTAACCTCTTCTTTGTTTCCTATTATAAAACTAGAAGAGGAAACCCAAATTGGTTTGGGAAAAAAAAAAAATTTACATTATATATATATATATATATATATATATATATATATATATATATATATATATATATATATATATATATATATATATATATATATATATATATATATATATATATATATATATATATATATATATATATATATATTGCCTCTGAATGTCTTGAATAAGGCAGCTAAGGTACTCCGTTGTTTCCCGTTTTCCGATGTGATTTTATCAAGATTTATCTTATCCGCGTTTTCATTGTGGATTTACATGAGATATGTATATATATGTATATATATATATATATATATATATATATATATATATATATATATATATATATATATATATATATATATATATATATATATATATATATATATATATATATATATATATATATATATATATATATGAGATTAATCCTCACTTTCTGGCGGTTATGTAACCGGAGGGTCCCAGCGTAAAAGTGAGGAAGCAGCTAAGTGAATAACATAACATATAGGATTAATTGAAATGGAGTCCGGGCCGATCCCCAAACTCCACTTTTTGACGACACACAACTATGTTGTAGTAAAAATTTTATCTTAACTTTATGATGGTATGAAAAAACAAGTAATATAGAAGAGGTTAGGTTAGGAAAGATAAAGGTTAACATAGGAAAAATAAAGGTTAGGTTAGAAAACTAAAAATTAGGTGTAACACTTACGGTAGTAAAAGAGATGGGTCGGCATACGGGGATGGAGGCTGGTTCCGAGGCAGAGGGCAGATTACTGGCCCTCAGGTGAATCACCATTACTAGGTGAATCACCATCACTGTCACTTACAGTTGTCAGGGCTTCCCTGGGGGTGGTGGTCCGGCGGAAGCCATTTTACGGAACAATGGATGCGCGTTTACACGGAGTGGCCTTGAGGGATGAAACTGCCGCGGCTAGGTCAAGCGTCGTCTTTCCTCCCTCCCTCCCTCCCCCGGGTGGACACGTCATAATACTTTAAGCCAATTACAGCTAGCAGCATAGGGGGGTAGGGATGCATGGCCAATCACAGGTCTGATACGTCATATGACGTCAGTGATAACGCAACAAAGACACACACTGCGCAACCTTACCGCGCCGCTTGCCCAAGCGGAGGGAGGAGGAGGGAGAGGCAGGCAGGCAGGCTGGCGGGTGGGGCGAATCTAAAACTAGCGTCGCGCCGGACACTCTCCGCGTAATGGGGTTCACGTACCGCGTAATGTGAGCACGTGAGGTTCTGGCAAGGCACCGCGTTAACGTGGAAACGCGGAATGCGGGACCGCGTAAAGTGAGGGTTAACTGTATATATATATATCTACTAAACAAAATGAATTGTCCGTGACCCGTGGAAGGATAGCGTCTGTGACTGGGATGAATGAGACACACTGTAAAATTTACACTTATATTCCCTCCAACACTACAAACACAATCAAATAATGGTACACCAATATGCGCACCTCTTAACTTGAACTTAAAACACTATTCTGGGGAATAAAAGTTATACATGATCTAGAAATTAGAAACTCAGGCAACAATAAATTTGAAGTATTAAGAAATGTTGCTTGCACACATGAAACAGGCCTTAAGGGCTTTCACAAAATAATATCAGTCGCTTAGGAAATGGTATTAAAAAATAAGAAATTAACTACTCTACAATGAATAGGCCTTAAGGGCACTCAACAAAATTATATCACCCCAGCAGATGCACACTTCCTAACCTAACTTAACCACTACTCTGGGGAACAAAGGTTATACCTGAGATCGGAATTATGGAGAAAAATTAGATGCATTAAAAGAATCAAATCACAGTATCACTCTGGTTCCACTTAATGACACAAACATTCAAAAACACTACTATCAAAATTATTTAAGAAATATTACTCTACACACGTCAAGATAATATCAGTCTGAGAAATGGTATTAACTACACCCGTAATAAGGGAGATAAGATGTTCCTCTAGGTATCTCCTAGAGTCCTAGACTCGCGGTCTCAGTGTGTGACCATTAATTTACTCAGATAGCTTCAGTGTACTCCCAGTGCGTCCATGGGCAGGAAGAGAGAACGCCAGCAGGTGTCTATGGCCAGTAGGTAACACTTCTAGCTGACCGAGGACATGTGGTGTTGTGCACCCGAGTGGTAAGAACTGATCACCCACTGCTGATGCTGGTCCCGTCGTTTTAGTTGTCGGGAGCACTCGTTCACTCAAGAGATCCTTTGCTACCCCGCTAAACAGTGACAGGCCTACACTGATCGGTCCAATGGCGACAATCGCCACCCTCAATCATCAACGGCAGTCAATCTCTCGCAGTCAACTCCGGTCAACTCCGGTCAACTCCAGTCAAGTGGGTTCTGACGGAAACCCTGAAATGAACTCACTGTTAGCTCTAGTTAACTTTACCACTGCCCTATCTAACCCTGTCTGAGATTGAATGAAACTTACTTGTTATACTGCAATAGCGCAGCACAGGTGACTAGGCCACGTGACTATTTCTGTGACGGACGCGCAGGGACGTCTTATCTGCCTGACTGCTCCCCGCGACTGAGGGCCAGCCAGCGTCGCGTCCTCTCAAGGCGTTAGCTTATGCCTACGTGACATATTTTCCGCCTAACTAATAACTCCTTGGGACACCCGTAACATTATTCAGACTGATAAACGATCTATAAAAATTTCAAATTCAATAATAGTCCCTTACTTCATGAATCGCATCATTTTTAATTCGGTAAATTACATTTAATATCATATAGGCCTAGTTCCGCAATCTCTCGCTATGAGCAGGCAGCGCTCTTTTCCCTCCCGCGACCTTGAACGCTCAGTGTTGCCAATGGCGGGGCATTCGAAATTACTCTGAAATTTCTGAGTATTACAATCGACCCCCCTAAAAAAAGACAGCACTGTCCTCATGTGCTGAGAAAAACATACATACGACCCCCCTAAAAATTTGTTCTAAGGACTGCATCTCACCCCTTTAACGTGCTAAATGCAGCATTTGTCTTCTCTTCTCTCCTTTTCTCTCCCGCTAACATATATATATATATACATATATATATATATATATATATATATATATATATATATATATATATATATAGCAGTATAGAGAGAGTTATATATATATATATATATATATATATATATATATATATATATATATATATATATATATATATATATATATATATATATATATATATATATATATATATATACATACATACATACATACATACATACATACATACATACAGTGACCCCTCCGTTAACGAACTCAATCCGTTCCAGAAGGTCGTTCGTTAACCGAAAAGTTCGTTAACCGAAACCATTGTTTCAATGGGTTTTTGGGTAATTGGTTCCAGCTCACCGAAAATTTCCTAAATTCAACAAAAATGGTAGAAAAGTTCACTTACTTTGAGGTGTATATGTAGAAGGCTCCTGGATGATGATGATGATGATGGGATTTAGATTGGGGGTGGAGGAGAAGGAAGAAGATAAGGCATTGGGTTGGAAGAGAAGTCACCCCATGGTGCCATTTCTCCCATAAAATTTTAGCTCACTTGGTGTAATTCAGGATTATTTTCTTTAAATCAACACTGCACTGCATTATATATTGTCAATATGTAAAATATATTTCAAAATGACCAATAATTTGCTTGGAAACACAGAAAAAAAGCATTTAGTTGAAGAGAGTCTCAAGCAAGATGTTACCTCCAGTGAAAACAGAGAGAGACTAACTCCTGTTTGCTGTGTTAAGAGGCTGGATGCCGTGCATTAAACTAGTCACTTTACCTTCAATTATGTTCAACAATTGTTAAAATGACTAAAAAATTGAATATTAAACTTCTAAAATTATTGAATAGTATAAACTTCTTGATATTTACTAAAATAGTAAGGAATTTATGCCCTAGAACCGATTAATGTATTGGCGGACTGATACTAAAGCTGGTTGCCCGGTCAGTGCAAGTGAAAACATGTTGAGGTCGGTTCGTAAGAACTTCGTTAACCGAATTTTTTTTCGTTAACCGAATTGAAGATCCTTATGGAAGGCAGTTCGTTAATCGAAATTACGTTAACCGAGGTGTTCGTTAAACGAGGGGTCACTGTATATATATATATATATATATATATATATATATATATATATATATATATATATATATATATATATATATATATATATATATATATATATATATATATATATATATATATATATATATATATATATATATTTAGTGGGTCTAAATGGTCGTAAAATGGGAGACTTGGGGTTGGGTCTTGGGTGCCTGGAACCAATTAGAATAAATCCCATAGGTTCTGTACTTTCGTTATCGGTGGGGTCCCAATTAGGCGCGATAACCAAGGGATGACTGTACTGTACTCTATATACAGTCAACCCTCACATTACGCGGTCCCGCATTCCGCGGTTCACCGTTAACGCGGTGCCCTGCCGGAACCTAACATGCTCACATTCCGCGGTCGTGAACCCCATTATGCGGAGAGCGGCTGGCAAGCCGCGCCATTTTTGGATCCAAACCTCCCGCCATCCGCCATGTTGTGTAAGAGGCGCGAAAATGGTGCGCACAAGGTCGCCCAGTCATCAAAACATTACCAGTTCTTCACCCGCCACCCACTACAGCCGGCCCAAGTCAGTGATAGTGATAATTATAGTGAGGATATGGACTTATATGAACTTTGGGGGGTTTGACAAAGAGGCCTTGCAAGCCTCTGTGGTGGATAGTGATACAATTGATACAAGTGATACAGGTGAGGGCCAATAATCTGCCCTCTGCCTCGGAACCAACCGCCCATCCCCGTGTGCCCAGCCATCTTTTCTACTAATGTAAGTGTTAAAAAACCTAATATTATTGATATTTCTTTTAATTATTAATTGTGTGTGCATGCCATCATAAAGTTAAGATAATATTTTTACTACAACATAGTTGTGTGTCGTCAAAAA